GCTGGGCTTAGCAAAGGCGCTAGTTGGACCTATGCATTTTTGATCAGAGGTAGGAGAGGGTAGTGACATGGACAAGGAATCGTGCTGGTAGGCAGGATAAAAGAGCTCTGGTATAATCGCAGTCATTTGGAAACAAGGGGCATCATCATTAAGCCCATGTAAACATTTATTTGCCTCAGGAGTCTGAATAACCATGGACTTTTTAACAACTTTATTTCCTTGCTCAGATTCTTCTCCTTCTATATCACTTTCGGGGTCCGCCTTTGATGGTAGTTTGTCCTTCAAAATGGCCCTTTTAAGCCAAGGCGGAAAAATATTCCCAATATGCCTGTCTGAATCCACCAGGCCATTTGTAACAGGATAGGTAGGAAGGTGCTCGTGTAAGCTGTAGCGGAACGATGAATCTGTGCCACCAGACGAGTTTAAACCGGAAAATGTCATTGTCAACGGCCTAATAGGACTCATTCCTAGAGTCAAGCTGTTTTTGACTGCCCTTGGGCGTGTCGATAGTGAAAGCTGTACTGTTGGAGGAAATGCGGATGGTGTGGTGCAAGAAAATTCCATATCGGATAAAGGACATTGCTGACGGGAGGAAGTTGCAGTTGTGATGGAAATTAGCGGTGATGGCTTGATGAATCTAGTAGAGATGCGCCGGGAAGAGGCAAAAGGAGCTTCGAACGCCGAGTTGGTAAGAGGTAGAATACTGAAAAACAAAAAAGGAAAAAGTATAAGGTTCCTAACATAATCCGATGAGATAACTGAAACAACTCGGTAAAAATGATTATATTAATTTCAATTGAAGATAGGAAGACAAAGATGATGTGGCGTTGGGTTTGGTTGTAGTTTCCTTTAGATACATATTTTGGGTAGGGACTCGTTTACGCAACTTTGTCAAGGCGACTTGGTCTTATGGAAAATAAAAATTGGACGAATTCCTTATCTTTTGTAACGACATTAATGGAGGAGAACGGAAAGTTATCATTTCTTGATTTAAAGATTATTCGCTCCGATAAGACTCTTAAAAAGAGATTAAACCGAAGAAAATCATATTAAGGAATACTCGTGAATATTCAGTCTGACAAAAATAACAGATTGAAGATTGGAATACTCATAAGGAGAAAATGAGGGCTTTGAAGAATCTCCCGAGGTAAGATTGTTGTGAAGACTTTCATCTCCTATGGAAGTACATGATTAAGAGATTCGTAGATAAATCTCACCAGAAGACGCCGGCTGATTAGTGTTATACTGCAGCCATTTGGCATTCATAAGAAGCCAACGTCCAACCGATTAACACTTATTGAAAAATAAACTGGATGTTTCTAGGCAACGGATATCCGAAAGGCATACTATATAGAAACATTCAGGTTGTGATAAGATAGCATAATGTGGATTATGAAAGGAAAACAAATAGCAGAGGAAAACGATTGATGTCTAATCTTCTGCGAACTAGCCAAGAAGTTGCGACCACTCCTAATGAGAAGGAGAATGCCTACATTCCTGAATAAAGGACAATGCTCTTCATTAGCTTTAGCAAACAATATAAAAAATCAACAAATTAATGCTCTGGAGTGTACTTCATAAACTGCAAGGGTTGTAAGCAAAAGTTGATTGGGGAAATCATGACATGGATTAAAGAGCACCAGCATCCCTGCAAAGTAATGAATACGGAAAGATATAAGGTAACCAAACACATTGCCCTGACCGGCCACCAGGTTTACAGGAAAACGACGGGAAGACTGACCTCATATGGAGGTTAATATAGGAAAATGCAAGACTAGGGAAGCCGTGGGCATCCTATTTCACAATAAAATAATGAACAAGAGATTGGAAGGAAGAGTCAGCGACAAGTCCTTCTAATTCCTGAGCAGACTTGGAGCAATTCGGAAGTCAGCAAGTACAGCCAAAAGGAGTCGCTTGAATAAAGAGCATTTATTCAACGCCAAATAGAGGATATGAGTGGAAATATAAGGTCAATAGAAAGTAATTGCAGTGAGAGAAATCAAATCTAGAATCAGCATAAGAAGTAACCGATGTGGATCCACCCCAAAGGGCCATAAGCTTACGAAAGGTACTCCATTATAGTTGGTAAGCTGAGGATCTCCATATATTTTAAATATACTTGGGTATAGAAACCGAGGTGAAGGAACAATATTAATTGGTCTCAAATACATGGATTAAATGGGTGAGTATTCATTTTAGGCATATCTGTAGC